AAAAAAAAAGATTTTTTTTTTAGAAAAAATGTATTATACATTACTCAAATTATTATAAATCATGGAAAAATATTGGCATAAATTTTAGTCTTGCTCAAAAGAATTTAAAAAATAAGAAATACAAACTATTTCTCATAGGAGAATTACCATTTTCTCAACGAATTCATCTGCATTATTTTTTGTGTGTGGAACACAAAAAATCAAATTTCAGTCTTATTTTACATTTTTTCATGTTTTGGAATGTCTAAATTTAGTTAAACTAGCAATTTCGTATTATATCTCTAAATATTTACAATATAAAAATCGGATTTTTCTTAACAACTGACATTTTGCCGGGAATGGGGCTTTAAGGATACCAAATTTAACATTTTATCTCCTTCAGAAATGGAAACAATTAGGCCTTAATTTATGTATTAAAGACTGGTACATAAGTTAGTAAACTTGTGCGGTTTATTAAACAAACATTTGTCTTAAAAAAAAACAAGTAAGTCAGAGAAATAGCCTTGAAAATTGTGAATATCTCATATTTACATTTCATATTATTCGGTTTCCTGTAGTTTAATATTTTTTTTTTTTTTTTTTTTTTTTGCTTGGGTATGTTTTGGCTTAGTATCAATATATAATTTGTATGTAGCTTATGGGTTTTTCAAGGTTGATAATACTTTGCAAAAATCTGAATAAATGCATTGCTTCTGTATTTATGTACTGTAGCAATATCTGTTTTTAGATGCCATTTGTTACCATTGCAATTTCATTTATTCACTGAATTACTTAACAATAATAGATATTCTCTCGGTCGAATTGTGCTTAGCTATACATGAGGACTGGTGTAGACCAACTCAGCAAGCACCCATTCTTTTGCATAATCATTAGAAAAGATTTTTTTGTTCTGTTTGTCATATATATATTTGGTCAGCACTTATGGATGAATTTGTGAAACAGAGGGTTATTATCAAAATATCTCTTGTTATGAGGAAATTTTCCTTAAACAACCATACCTTTTAGACTACAGTATTATCAGTATCAAAAAGTAATAATAATGATATATAATTGAACCCATGACATTCATTACTTTTCAGTTGCACTACCATCTGAGCTATAAGAAGTTAAGTTGGTGTATGAATTTTTCTATGCAGACAAATGTTTTATTTCTATACCATACCTAAATTGCTTGCTTTACTCTAAACATATTTATAGATGAAGAACAATACTTGTCCAAAAATATGGTTTACTATCATTGAGTTTTTAATTAAAATTTTATCTTTATTTCAATGAAGATCCGGTTATCGTTTCTACACGTTGTTTTTCAAGATTTTGTCTTTTGGCTTTGGATCTATATAGGCTACATTATATCAAAGGAGAGATGAGGAGGATAGGTTGATGAGGTATCCATTCCTCATTCATATATTGATTTTAGTTTCAAATTTCAAATGTGGTCATAAATCATTATAGCTTCAAGCTAAATTGTGAACAATATAGTACATTAAAATGTTATGTGGATGACTATAATACTTTATATAATAATAACATTGCAGGTAACATTATACAGTAGTGAATGTTAGTATTTTAATGAAAGTAAAGACGAACCTATAATTGAATTTATATTGGTATTATCTGTTAAAAGACTAAACAGGTTTGTAACCTGGAGAATTTCTATGGTTCGGCAGAATCCTTTTTTCGAGCGTACTTCCTCCCTCCTGCCGCCCCCCACCCTCCCTTGCATAAAAAACCATCTAAATGATCAGCAGCTTATGAACATGTTAGAATGCTTCATCTCCTGGGACCTTGCCTTTGAATTCCATATCAACTCTTTAATTCCCTTGAACCCCAACATTGCACCTAGGTCCACCTGGATCTCTGGCTCCCATAGGAAACACCCTTTAAGGAATCCTTGTTTCTGGCCTGGTTTGTGATTTGATTATTTTATTAGCATTAAAGCAACTTTAAGTCACAGTTTAAGGCCTATTTGTTTTCCGGTGGCTATTCACATGTGTTGCGCCTTTGATCCTGTTTGGAATTTGCGCCAATATAAATTTGAGATACAGTATTATTATCATTATTATAAAGCTAAATAGAGAAGTAGATTAAATAAATAGTACCATGTCACTAATTAATAAAAGTGAACTAAATCACTGACAGTGCCACATTAACATAGGTATACAGTAAATGTAAATGCTCGTAGTGTCTAAACCAATTTTGAGTATGGAGAAACAAGAAGTAAAATGTTGAAACAATGATAACACAACTACACAAAAGACACTCATACATAATCATCAAGTCTAAAGGAATTTTCACTTTGTCTTTTTCACAAGGTTGAAAGACCTTTAGGATTTAACCACTTATATCATTAAAGTAAATAGCATATTTAACAATTGCACAATGCTTACCTTGTTGACTGGTCTACACATTTCATGTAGATTGACCTGAAGAGGTTAATTATTTCACAATTTGTATTGAAATTATCTAACATTGCATATTTTATCAATCTAATAACCAATAATGACATTTTTTTTCCTCCCAGCTTTAGTTACTTGTGAATTAGAAGAAGGTTTTGATGATTGTTAACTAATATAATATCTATCTAGTTTTCCTTAATTCAAAGTAAAATTGCTTAAATATTAATTTCAATTATGCATGATAATTATGAAGCTCAGTAAAATTTATGGCTTTTGAATTTTGTGATTTCATAATATCAGAGAAAAAATTCCAATTATTTATGATTGTTTGTTTAGCTACAGATAGCAAGGTTATCATTAATTGAATACTGGAACTTGGGAAGTCCCAAGAGCTGTGTTTGTACATGGATCAGTATCAACTGTTGTCACATTGATTACAACGAGTGGGAGCATTTCATTGGGTAGTTGTAAAGGTTCTGGGTTTATCATGGATAGTTCTGCCTGATGATGGTGATTAAACTGTATGACACGAAGTGAGCAACTAACCGCGTGCCAACTTCCCATTTCTAATGTTACACAGGCGTGAGCAACAGGTGCTGCATGCTCTTATGTAAACCTTTGAATATATTCTGCAATACTAATTTTGCTTTGAGTTGATTTATTTGGATTTTATACAAAATGAGGAGAAAACAGTATTCAGTAAAACTATCAAAATCCCAGGTAAGATTTGTTTGGTTATTCCCTACTAATTTGATGGTGGCTATACTGTATACTATCAGGATCTGTAGATTGTATGTTCAGGATTGAACATGTCGAAGTCTTCAACTTTTTTATGTTGAAGAATGTGACTGATAAGGTCGGATGCTAGAATATTGATCTGGTAAAACATGGATGCTTTGTATTGTAAGTAGTGTCAGTTGTTTGTGGAATTGGGATAATACAGTATTCATCTTTTAAATATTTCAGTACTGTAGTAAAATAGGTTAAAATCAGAAATTGAATACTATATTGTAAATAGTATTGTTATTTGTTCGTTTTTTTTTTGTTTTTTTTGAGAATCTAATTTACAAACAGATAGCTGGCCTATTTCCCCTCCCCCCAATTATAAAAATTTCAAAAAATGGGGAAAATATGGTAAATCTTAACACGAACCCTTCACTTCTTAGTAACCATAATTAATAAACTTATACTAATAAAATACAAATTATACTAATAATTTAATTAATGATGTATGTGAAAGAGTTAACTTTCTAAATCATTTCAGTAACCATTCTCATGTGCTATTTATTTTCTTGTAATGAAATAATTACAAAGAATTGAGCTGTGGTTTAAACTATTACTGGAAGGCTTGGTTGGATACCAGAGGCGAGCAACCTACACCAACAACCTAATAAGAACAAGTGGTATTAGTTTCAGTTGTTAATACGATTTATTTTTAGATTACATTATCAGACTTTCAATCTACCATTTATTCTGTCTGTGGTGTGATAAATTCCAAGTATAATGATAATAATGTTAATTATGTCAGCACATACATCATCCCATATGTCCAGGAGTTGAGTTTGGTCAAGTATTGGCTTCGTAGTGTCCTTGAAAAAGCGTTGTTTGCTTAACTATATTTACATCAGTTATATAGTTGTGTTTCTCTCATGTTCTTTGTTTTGCCTGACAGGAGCTAGGTATGTTTACCCAAGGTGCAACTAGCCCACCATGTGAGGTGCACTATATACCTGTGGTGATCATTTCATCATCTTGAAAAACTTCCTAAAGAATTTTCATCACTTTAGGTGCTTATTAATGTGTTGTAAAGTTCTACCCACAAAAATGCTGTGGTTTACTTTTAATATTCTTGTCTGACTTGGTTTTGTTTTATTTTTTCAAAGCTGTTCACGTCCACAGTCAAACGGAATTGGTGATGTCATAATCAATTTGTTATTATTAAAGTAATTTTACTCTTTGTTGTATTGCAGATTTTGAAAATGTTTATTACATTAGATTAAGACTTAAAAGTACCAGATTTTGAGAATCTATGCCTGTGTCAATTTTAAATTTGAATCTTATTTATTGAAGTGTTGAATCCTAATTTTTCAGAATTTCTTTAATGACACTAGCACTAGTATTTTAGTGCATATTGGCAGATAATTTTTATTCAGAAGCTACTTTTTAATCTTTCTGGTATGTTTTAACTATATTTGTAAGTTATGGACTATTAAAAACTCCTCCAGACAAGGGACCTTCTAAAAAAACAATGGAACATTCATAAGTAAGAAGAATCAAATGTCTTTTCTTTTGAAAGGCATCATAGGAAACCGCAGAACTTGTGTTTACTTTAGGGAATAGACGGACATAATGGATGAGTCATACAGGAGAACATTTAATGAAATGTAGAAATGAACGGAATAAGATTTAAACCTATATCCTCAGACATGTAGGGAAGGTGCATGGACATTAAACCAGTTATGTGGTACAATAGATGTAATTACATCCTTATTAAAATATTTGTATTACTGTTTGTATTCTGTTTTGTGTTGTTCTACAGCGTATGATTATGTACTTTTGTTTATATAACTCAAAATGTTTAATTCATAATTTTTTGTATTGCAGGTAGAGAAAAACAAAGAACCATTAACCCAACAACAACCATCAAACATGGAGTCAGGTGCCAAATATTTATCCATACCAGAGCAACAACGGCATCTCCAGTATTATAACGCCATTCCGGAACCTCAGGAACCAGTTGTTTCCAACTTCCATAATGGAAACTATAGCTCTTCCGAGGACACGCTCTCAGTTGGGTCTGCTGGCTCCGATTCTGTAGAGACTATTCCAATTAGAATTCAATTACCAGAACAAGATATACAGGTAAGAGATATATATTATCAAATAAATAATATTAATTTATTGTAATTTCTAAAGATTGCGATTAGTTGGAATTTCTATAATTGTACTGCAGTAGTACTTTGGCAAAGTCTCAACCTTATAAGTTGACATTGGCCGATGATAGTGTTAATAAATGATGATGACACATATTTCGATAGAATGGTTTGAATTGTTGCTTTGGAAAGTGTCTAACTCTAGTTTCCGGCCTTTCATTACTTGCCTAGTAGAACACATTCATTTGAAGAATTGATAACAGACTGATCGATAATAGAAGACATCAGTTTTAATTTTGAACATCTTTCTGAGTGGGTGTTTAGGGATGTACAGTAGGATGCTGATGAGAATTGGCTTGGATACAATATTTCATAGACAGTGTAACTTATGGCCAAGCTTTTTGAAAAAACATCTGTGTCATAAATTGTTTTCAACTAGGAAGGACTTGTTTTTTTATTGGGACAATATCGGTGGATGAACAAAAGAGGAAGTGCAATAATGAAATATGGTGTTGATTATAATGTAAATGTTTATAGGTACTCAAGACTTGGATGCATTTTATCGCCTTCCAAGCTGTTCCGTATTTTTTCCATGAAATCACAGTGTATTAAGAGTCATTGTCAAGTTTAAGTTTGTTCTGACGACAATAAAAAATTGATATTTTGCCAATATGTAAAAGTCTGGCTATGTCGTTTTATTACAATATCTTTGATTTTAATAATTATAATACCAGTCTGGCCTATTCAGTCATAGGACTATGGGTAGTAGTCTCTCTGTTAATCCCATGTTTAATTAGTACACTAAGATATTTAATTACCAATACAATATGAACACTTAAAACATGTGACTCATTGTAGGGTATGTCAAGATACTAATAATTGGGTGTTACAGAAACTCCCTTTTGGTTATCAGTATTAGGATGATTTACTCTTTAACAGTGTACACAGTTATGATGATTACAGTGTACATTGACAAACTTCCTGTTGTTCAAGAGTTCGGCAAACGCCTACACTAGTACTAGAGATCTTAATTCGGTGAATATTCTCCGGGTTATGGTATAACAATGAAACAAAAAAGCCTAGGTCAAACATTGACGATTCCATGTTGTTTTTTAGACTTATGTGCCCATGTATATGTGCTGTGTTCCTAGTACAAGGTGCATGTATGCATAATTTAACCCTATACACATTAATGAAAAAATACATTAATGTTATATGTCCTACTGTGATGGAATGTTTTAAACAATCCTACTGTATTATGAAAAGCCTTCTGTATTTGTTTAGGTTTATTATGTCCTGTATAATCCGGGATTTATCAGAAATTCTGTTATTAAAATATGAATAGAATCATTGAGATAGAATTGAAGCCAATGATGTATGTTAGATTTAAAAATGAGTTCTATAAAAAAAAATGTATCAGTTATTGAACAAAGCTTTTAAGGGCATTATATGTTCGACCATTATATACAATAACTGTTATTTCAAATAGTCAATTGCTTAAGTATTTAAAAATGAAATTTAAAAAAACATTTCTACTTCCTATCTAAGCCTACACCTGTGAATGATCAGAATAGTTGAATTTTATTAATAATTTTCTCTATTGTAATAGCCTCTTTTCAATCAATATTCAATTTTATATTCAACAGATCTACAGTAAATTTAATGATATTGTTATCTATGTCACTTCCTTTTCTGAGTCACTAACTGTCGTTTCTCATTTGTGTTTACAGAAATGCCTATGTCTCAAACCATCACAAACAGTGTGGTTTGCTAAGCAACACGTAATTTCCAGTGTATCCCAGGTATAGTAACAAGACATTTGCCAATATAACTTTCAATAGGAAAAATATTAAATATATGGGAAAAATATAGTTTATATTCAAATAATTAATAGTATAAACAATTTTTTAAGTTTAAATATATATTCATTATATTGATATCGTTTTTTCAACTGTTTTGAGATTGAAGGAACACACTTAATATAAGGATGATCATTACCAGCATTGCCTGTTTTATCTCAGGTAACATCTCCATATTCACATTAGTCATCCATTTTAACAACATAACATCTGCCACGTCAAAGAACTGTAGTACAGCCCATTCAAAGGTTACTTTTAGTGCAGTTATTGCCCTATCAAAGCATAAACACTCTACTTTAATGCAGTCTTATCAGTGCTAAAACATAATTGCCTACATGTATTTTTAATATCAGCTATTAGAACAATAAAAATAATGGACATTAATTATTTTGTACATATCATTCGGTAAACATACAATTCTTCAGAAATCTGATTATGGCCTATAAATGTCCTACCAGATATACAGTACCAAGCTTAACAATTTCGGAACAAGTTAGGAATTATTTTGCAATAAATCTCATTAAATAGATATGAAAGTGATGATAACAAATGTTTGTTACAAGTCATATTTGTCACAGAAAATTGGGGGCAGCCACAGTGACTGTAGGTACTGAACCATGGAGATCTTTGCATAAATTTGGTCCCTGGTTCAATTCCATCAGCTGCTCTCCTTGTATTTCTGTTGGGAGGGTGGAGTTTCAATAGTGCACCATCTTTCAGATGAGGTGTTTAAGTTGTTGTCCCATGTGAAATAGGCCTAGGTGCCTTTTTAAGAGTAAAGGATTGCCTTCCATGGGACTGATTGAACCAGAATGAAGGACCCCACTGAAAATAGGTCTTCAGTCTCTCCCGAGTTATCCTAGATGTGTACATTTCACACCAAATACACATCCGATACATCTTCTCTTCTAAAGTCATCTTTACACCAGGTTTTACAACCCATACTGGTTTTTACACACTGAATAAATCAATCCGATCCAGTCATTGGCTATACAAACTTATAGTATACTTGCATATTGCAATTGCAAGCATATGCTGATTCTTAAGTCAAATGTTTGAGATTAAAACATTCAAAATATAGCCATCCTATGTTTTATGTATTAGCATGAAATGAATGAATTAATTGTATTGAATTTCTTCTGCTTTGACTTGTTATACTCTCTTCAGGATGTAAAGGACACATTAAATTATGGATTTTATCAGCCACCAGCAAATGGCAGAGCAGGAAAATTCTTGGATGAAGAGAGGCTACTTCGTGATTATCCAATGATGGGTCCTGTCGGCTACCTGGAGGTAAATTACCTAGATTTATTTATTTTTTAAATATTTATTTCATATGTATCAAAAGACATACACTAATGGCAGCCAGTGTTGATATAAATATAAAAAATATATAACAAAGTACATCGTTGAAGTATTATAAAATATTATACAAAATCTAAAATATACATTTTAATAATTTTTCTTATCTCAATTTATTACATATAATTTTTCTTATTAATGTCATCATTGTTAATGTTACAATTAAGAATATTATTATTATGAATATATGTAAAAGTAAATGTACCCATCTGATAATTGATGAAGCTTTTCTATTTTAATTAAATTATTAAAGTATAATTATGTGATATTTTAAGCAGTATATGTATTACAGTCATCATTATTATTGTTAGAATTGAGCGGAGCTGAATCTTGTTCATTAAGAAGGAAGAAAGAAATAAAAATTGCATTGTTGTATTAAAGAGGTATTCCCATGGGAGGTGTGCCTGGCAAGACATAAACTTTATTGATCTCATACAAAATAAATTACAATTATATTACTCACATACAGTAAATTTTATCTAAAAGTATGGCACAGTCACCTGAAGTAGTTCACTGTGGGAATGAAAGCTTTATGGTTAAATGTAAAGTTAGCTGTATGTAATATAAATATATTGGAGATAGTAGGTAAAAATGAAAAATTATTCCCAAAGGGTTTCATATACCATTATGAAAAAAAAAATGATTAAAAGCCTAATTATTATTTAAAACTAGCCATCAAATAAATCAAGAAATGTTTTTAGCTCACTATGCTCTGTTTCTAGCTAACAACTTTGAGCAGCTTTTTGTTGTATAGAAGAGAGCAGAAGTCTTTTTCACAGAATCAGAGCAGATGAGATGTATTTCCCCTAAAGGTTTTATCAGTGATTCACTCATCTATCTGCTACACTGCGGAATTCATTGCCCTAGAAATACCATTCATCTGTGAATTTACACAAGTCTCAATCAGTCTTGATATTCTTCCATAGTCAACAACAATGAAGTATCAATATTATTAAACATATGGGAAAAGAAATAAATCACAGTGGTTAAGAGCTTTTTGGCATTTTTCTTGATTAGAAATAGAAATGCTTTCACATGGAATTTATATTATTTGCTTAAAATTCAACAGCAACAAAAGGTGCCAATTACAGTATTGAAAAAAATAATAAATTATATAGATATAAAACAGGGTTTAAAAAAGACAGTAAATTTAAAAAATAAGAGTTGTTAAAAATTGTTAAAATGCAATTAAAATAAATAAGCATAAATCTATGATGGACAATTATTTAAAAAAATATTTATACAATAAGAATATAGACTGGACATACTATGCAATAAATAATACCATTCCTGCATTTTTAATTTTTACATAATTATTGGAAAAATTATTTTTATAACCTGATAGTCATCAAATTAGAAGAAATACACATTGTATAAAGAGCTGGTAGTTCATCTCAGTTAAATTTTATGTTAATGTCTGCCAGTCATTGCATACCGGTATTTATGTTTTTACTTTGAGAAAGTCTATCATAATGATACTTGGAAAATACAAAGGAATATGCAAATTTGGGCATTTGTTGGTGGACTGAATTTAATGAGAACAATGTCATAGTATCCTGTGAAAGCTTGAGCAGATAAAGATGAAATTTAATCAGTGGTCCCCATTAAAAACGTAAGAAACATTTCATTTGACATAGGATTTGAACAGATAACTGCGGATTGGTGGGTGAGCACTTTAAAGTCAGGCTCCTGAGAGAAGAAATGTTTGATATGTTGTAGAACTGATTTTTCTAAAACAGAAAAAGAGTTCTTTGACGAAAAATGGGGAAACGGTGAAGGAGATACAGATTTTTAATATTTAAAAACTACGGAAAATAGGGTGTAACCGCCTTTTTTTACATTTTTTTTACCCGCAGTTTTTAAGTATTCAAAAATCTATATCTCATTCACCGTTTCCCCAGTCAACAACTTTTTTTCTGTCTTAGAAAAATCGGTTTTACAACATATCAGAATATTGTTTTTCTTGTGAGTCTGTCTTTAAACATGAAGCTATAACTTCATCATGTTTTTAACATTTGGGTCAATAAAAAGAGGGGCTTAACAACAAGAAGACCAATGCAAATATGATTAGACAAACAGAGCACTTCATTCATAGTGAAGACAAACAGAGCACTTCATTCATAGTGATTAAATATAGTGTTTGATAATCCTGGTTTAAAAAGAACAATAGAACAATAAAAACATACAGTACATACATTTTGACTTGAAATACTTCTTAAAAGGTGTTTGTTGTTTATTCATAGATGAAGATTAAAGTAAACTTACTCATCACTGTCTCTTCCATCATGAATATTCATAGATCTCTTTACAGTAGAGTAATATTTGCCATCATCAGTAATTTATGAGCTATTCAGTAAACTGTCACTGTTAATTTAGTTGCATAAAATTTAAATTAATTTTTAAAAATTAATAAAATGAATTTCAGTGATTTTCCAAATAATTGAAAAAATTACTGAAATTCATTTTACCTATTTTTAGTGTCAAATAAATTTCATTTAATTTCGGACAAATTATATAGAAATGAAGTTTATAGAAGTTTTAAAGAAAATCATGATGAAAAAGAACAAAGACATAGATTTTTTTTTCTAATTTCCAGATACTTTATTATAATTTCAATGATTGTCATGATTGTTTTTAAATTATACATCTGCAATATCTTTGTTATCACATTTATACCATGACGCTATATATAGATTTCCATGAATTAAATAGGTCTCAGTTCTTAATTACATTTTAAGTGACACTTCAGTCAGGCTTCATTGTGTGCATTCACATAGATGATCATATAACCATTTTTACTGCATTTAAATGAGAGCATTCACTATATTTTTAGAATTCTATTTCCCTTTTAAATTAGCAGCAGTTTTGTAGGAGTGATGCATAATATTACTTATGTTTTTTTGTTATTTTCCTGTTTTTCCATCCACCATTTAAATTATCATTTAGGCTGTAAAATATAATATAATTTAAGATAATAAACAAGATGTTTTATAATAATAATAGTAGTAGATGCAGCAGTAGAAATAATTTGACTAAAATATTTTAGAAATTCATTTTTTAAAGTTTATTGTCTAACATTTTTCAGAAGACACTGAGAAAAAGTGCATGGTTTTTCTGAAAATCAAACTGCTGCCATCTGATTCAGAAGTAATTACATTCCTCTCTTGAAAAATTTACAAAATATTTGCATTTTAGTTCAAATACAAAAGACGTGTGTACAAGCAGTTGAATCTAGATGGAAATCAAATCAAGAAATATAATGGACGCTCATACCAAAAGAACATGATGGACTACATTAAGAGCAACTCGCCTGACAAAGTCAAGAAGCTGATCGATAAAGGTCTTGACCCCAACTTCATCGATGAGAGTTCAGGAGGTCAGTTCAAATAATTTAATAACCAATAATTTTAATTAACCTCAAATATCTTTTTATAGTTGCTAAATTTGTATTAAGCTATTATTTTGAAATATAATTAACTTGAATACAAGTTAATTATTTTGAAATTTTGAAACCTTTTGTTATGTTATTAATGTTATAATTGTGTTAAATTATCATATAAATGGTATTTTGAAAGAAAATTCTAATTTGATAGTACCATATTAAATGAAGTTGACCCTCCACCAAAAGTGATCAATTGGTACCTTCATGGTCTGTAACCGGGTGTCTGCATGGGACTCTCTGTGGGGGAGTTGTTTTTGGTTGTGAGTAAAAATATACTTGCAGATTTGAACCCAGAACCTTAGGGTTGAAAGGCAAGCATTTAACCCAAACCACACCACTTTTTCACTCCCTATGTTAAAATGTGTATGTGTTTATTTGAGGTCATTAAAAATATTTTGTTAGTGGATATTGTATTGGAGGCATTGTTATGCTAAATATAGCATTTTGTATGCTTGGATACAGATTCATTTAATGAATAGTGCCCAGAATTGGTATATTGTAGCTTGGCATTTAGATGAAACAGAGACTGTTGAAATCAATATCTTTGGGTGATCTGGATGAAAGGACCCTATAGGAGATCGCAAACGACACATGATCACCTTCATATAGGATACCAGTGTATCATCAAATTAATGAGATCCGTTTACCACAAACTGTCAAAAAATTCATACATTCAAGTTCAGATGTAAATTTATAGAATAATTGTGGTGAATGCTGGAGCATGTTTTTATATGCTTTCATAACTGGATACATTTTTTGCAGATTTAAAATTGACCCTCAAAGTATACAGTAAAGCAATAGGCTTAATAGATATACAAACAATAGCCATGAAAATCATTATGATTTGTAATTGTAAGCCAATGAATATCTACATGTAAGTCAATTTTGAACAACAATGTCAAGAAAGACTAATTGACTTGTTCTAATGTATGACATCTTACTTTAGACATCCAATGGAGACAAGGTAGAGAATTAATATACAGGTGTGGCCCATATGATGTTAAACTAATTGGCCAAATTAAAATAAATATGGTACACAGACAAAATTTTGCTGGTTTGTTCCGCTATTCAATATTAAATTTCAGTGCTTTCAAGGTCCAACTTTCATATGGTCTTAAATGGTATAACTATTCTTGTATATTTTAAATTCTTATTATTATATATTTATATTTTTTATGTACATTATTCAAATTAGGTTTGCAGGGTAGCACCAGAATAATATTATAAACAAATAAATGAATAACTTTGTTCGAATATAACTACCTTTATATATACAATTAACTTTCCCTTATTTCTTTAGAAACGCCGATGACCCTTGCTGTGACAGTAAATAAATCTGAGGAAGTTATAAAGATGTTGTTGTTGGGGGGATACCATCATGATTTTCGCAACAGGGACGGTCTGACAGCTGTTCACAAGGCAGTTTTGAAGGCAAATGCAAGAATTATAGAGGTAAGTGAATCTACCTACTTATGTGTATTTCCTAATAAGTCTTTTAAACAAGTTCAGTTAGTTATCCTTGTACCCATAATTAATGACACATAGGCCTACATGCTGTATGTAAACAAAAAATGCAAGAAAATTCAATCAAGCATTGGATTGCCTTTTTTTCACTTAAATACATTCTTAACCTCCAGTGAGATACAGATCAAAATAATTCATTTTTTAATTACATGCTCTTACTATCTGTAAAGTGAATGTTAGTGACTTTAAGGGAACTGTACTATTTATGCATTTTCATTCTAATTCAGTTGAATGCTAAATCTTAATTTAATAATGTGAGCAGTACATAAAATGAATTTTGTTTTTCAATTTTCATTATCTTGACACTGACAGTATATTTTTATTTCAAATAAGGGTTTATCTATTGATACCCTTGTCAAATACATATTGTAACCAACCATAAGATTAAAATGTGTTGTCATGGTGATTTAGACTGCTTATAATGTATTGGAATGGAAAGTCAATATTAAGTCATTAATCTGTGTTCTGTTATTTATTCAGGATCCTGATTATTTTAGACTTAAGAGCATATAAACAACCCAAATTTATTAGGTCAGATATTTTTATCTCATGTCCTTAGCAATGAAAAAAATTGTTATTTAATGTATTTGAAAGGATATTGTTTTCTATATTGTATCTAAGTAAGAATGAAATTATATTGAGTTATCTTTAGTGATGGATATTCATACAGGTCATATAAATCCATTGATCTGATTGGTTGGTTGATGCTATCGAATAAACTATAAAACCTGTATTTCTTAAAACATTAAAATCGTATGGATTAAAATATATTTTCTAGGTGATTTTGGATCTAGGAGCATCTCCCAACTACAAGGATGAAAGAGGGCTAACCCCTCTTTATTATACAGCAATGCACGGAGGTGACCCCCGTGTTGCTGAGATTTTGCTAAAAGACAAAGCAACCGTTAATAATGTTGACAGTCAGGGATGGTCTGAAATTCATCAGGTGAGTAAGCGTCATCCATGTTTTTTCATGGCTACCAAACAGAATGTCTTGTGTGAAGTGAAAGCTTTTCTTGCATTATTTATTATGTTTAATATTATTTACTCCATTCCCAAAACCTCATAAAGAGTCTTTGTTATTCTGGTAAGTAGCAGTGATCTCAAAGGATCAGTTCTACACTCCCAAACAATATGATAAAGAGGTTTGATCATAGAGGACCGATGATCCCAATTGATCCAACATTCTAGGTTGGCTGTCCTTGTTAAATATATCTTTTAAATCCTCAAATATTCAGAATAGTATACTATAATTTTTTTCAGATTATAGCGTAGCTTAGGAAAATCTGTGTAACACCACATAAGATTGAATTGTTGATTTCTTGAAGCAAAACAATGTTTGCTATTGTAAAAACTATGTCATAAAAATAATAAATTTTGAAGTGTTAAATTACTATGTAGTTAATAATCCATTCCATCATGTAATTTGTTTATAATTCTAATTTTTAATTTGGCAATGATTGTAAATATAAGTACAGTGCACCCTCCAAATTCGAGACCTCTCTGCTGTAATTCAAGACCACTTTTTCAAAGAAACAAAATAGCAATTTTCAATCTTTTAACACAAAGCTAGCCCTCTAATTGGAGACCAACCCCGAAACCACCCCAAATTTTCACGTCCCAAAGGTGGTCTCGGATTGGAGGGTGAACTCTAATTGTTTGTAATGAATATAGCATTTACAGGACACTCTTACAGGAAACTTTTTTTTATACCTTGCGTCGCCAACCAGCCGCCCACTAATATTGATGGTTTTGAATAAAAACAAAACTTTTTTTGACCTAATAGCATACCTGCCGCCACGAAAAACTGGAAATTTCAGAAAAATATAAAAGTTTTTCCTTATTTTTATTACGCCTGCTGCTGCCTTAAAATCTCCAAAAATAAGATATGAAAATTTCTTCCTAATTCTAAATTTAAAGCATTTAACCATCCCATTACCTCACTCTTTACATTCAACAATAACATTTTATTTTTATTTTCTCCTCTGTCTGGATGTTTTTGGCAAAGGCCATTATGGTTCTTAAGAGCAATATTTTTTCTCTTGAATTTTATAAATTATAATGTAATTATTATTGCAATTACGAATAATTGCAATTTAAATTAAATTGCAATTTATATTGAAGTTACTATGTTCTCTGTACTTTGTTAATTGTTTTTAGTATCTTCAAGGCAAAAGAGTAATCAATAAGATGAATAACAGACTGGTAATTTGTGAGAGAAATGGGGTTTTTTTTTTTTGTTTAAATTTTCTATTGAAAGCAGATAATTTAAATATACAAATAAAGTCAAAAATTGAGTTGTATGGAATTTTGATTCAGTTAACTAACTTGTCTGTTACAATTTGCATAATTTAGATTGCTGTTACATTTCTCCTCCCTGTAGGCTTGTCGTTACGGTCGTGTTCAGCATTTGGAGCACTTACTTTTCTACGGAGCTGACATAGATGCGCAGAATGAGGCCGGAAATACAGGACTGCACGTTGCTGCTCTCAATAACCATACGCCTGCAGCGCGTACGCTTCTTTTTCGGGGATGCAATAAACAACTGAAGAACAAGGCAAACCAGACGGCATACCAAGTAAGCATTACTATCTTATACCTCTCCAGTACTTTTATGTATCTTTATAGTGTACTTAATGTTCTAATTTATTCTAAAAACAATAATAAAGTAGAAGTGTTTTTTGGTTTCTCCAGTTGATAATTCATTTTTATTGATTGGAGTTTTGGATTGGTAGTCAAGTTGCATCTTTACAGTTCCCGAGACTTGGTGTCAAATGGATATTTATTGATGTTTTTATTTGTGTGGGATCCAAGTGAACAACTCTGCTGCATGGGTTTCCACCTTAAAATTTTATAACTTCTTTAAATGTTTAATTGCGTTGTTTGTTTATATGTAATAATTATAATAATATTAATAATAATAATAATAATAATAATAAAGTGAATGTAATAAATAAAAATAATTATAATGATAATGAAATAATGATGATAATAACAATAATAACATTGAATGATTTCCTTTTTAATGTACTTATTTTGTAAAGATTTTTCTCAATTCTTTTCTCTGGACTGCTATGAAAATGTGTTTTGTTGTGGTCTTACATTGAATAAAGGTAGCATGATATATATAAATGTTTTTAAATAACATAAATATACAAACGTAACCTTATATTTTGTTTTGTGCTTCAAGGCTGCTGTTATTGGCAATAATACGCAGCTGGCTGCCATTATTCAGGATCATGCTGAGGATGCAGTCGGTAAGATCTTATAACTCTTATTTATTCATTGCTCTTATTTATAATTATTTTCATTAGGTTAATTATTGATATTATTATTATTATTATTATTTGTATATAAAAATACAAATGTTCTTCAATCATTTTTTGTGTGAGGGTAATTTTAATGATGATGGTGAATTTAGTTACTTGTGGAAAAAGGCAAGTGGATGAAGATTGAGATGTTGAGGTGTAAATGCTAAAGTAGTGTTTTAAAAAACCACTAATGCAGGAGATGGTAATACCGAATTTAGTAAAAATATAACCCAATGTTTCACCAGAAATTAAATATGCACAATCAACAGCAGAACTTACAATAGCCGGAAAATGGAGCCTCCTAATCATAAATATGCTTGTAAGCGCTAAATGTGAATACTAAAATGCATTTCATTCTAATCAAGCGTTGGATAATGGTTGATCCGTGGGCTGTGTGATAGCTGCAGTAATAGTACTCCCTTTCATATTCATTTCATAGTCCTTTTAATACATTAAAGCATGCACATATAAATAGTGATTAATACCTGTCTCTTATACACATCTAGAGATTAATCCCACCTGTTGAACTGATTTGCCAAAATTGAATTTATTTAATTATTTGGAATGATGCATTTAAATCAGTGACACACAAGTCATCTCCTTGTTTATAAATGATACAAATTCATGATCAAAAATTTTTTCCCTATTTTAGGATGTGTATGATAATTATCATCTATGCTTGTTACATTGACCTTAGCTTTGATTAGTTTAGTTGATGGTAGATTTGTTATTAGTTGTTAATATTTTGATTAGTTTTATGTAAGTAGTCTTCATTTACAGTAGATGTTAAATTAGAATATTTTACCATTGCACTTACCAGTAGCATTCCTTATTTGTATAGTAATGATAAATGTGCATATTGCATTATATACATATCATTTGCATATGTTTGCATGTGTATTAAAATGCAAATTAAGCATCATTGTTGTTTTATTTCCGCTGCACCACTGCTTTTTAGAAATTGATATCGTAGAACCTATTATTGAGCCAGGTGAGTGTTAGAGCCATTACAGGTGCAGTGCAGACCATGGTGGTAGGGAAGTGTATACCCCTGCATGAAAATAATTTTTTTCTTGCATGGATTACATTTTAAATATGTCTAATAAAGTAAATCATACTTTTTTTTAACAACATTTATGTATGCATGTAGAGATTAATAATAATAGTGTAATATTTTGCTGTTTGATACGGTCTAATTTTATATGCTATATTCTTTAACATTGTAAATTTTACATTGTGCCATTGTTTTATAATTTTTGCATTCTTTTATTATCAATACACGACTCCTTAATGTTAAATGTTTCTATTTTGTCATCTTGTACTTGTATTTATATTTGTTTAATTTTCATTATTATAAAACAAGTTTTATATAACATGTGTGATGAATGGCTCATTGCCAATGTTAAAATAATTATGTTCACTTTGGTTGGCTCTTGTGTCCTTGATTTTTTTTATAGATATTTATTTCCTTTTAACTTAAAGCGAATATATATTAGATTGAAATTTAAGGGCAAATGAAATCATTGATTTGTCGTACAGTACATTGGCAGAAGGCAAACCTGTGCTTTGAAAGCCCAGAGAGCTAAATACAAAAATATGTGAATAAAAGAAACACAATAATTTTTAAACTCAATTGTTAATTTCTCTTATTTCCTTATTGATATAAAGACTTGCTCAATAATATTTGCTTACTTTTATATAATACTTAATTATTCAAGAGCTATAATTGAAAGTAGTCCTGAAGGAAGTTTGTTAATAAATAGTGTTTGTATTTCATATACTTGTTATTTGCCTTTCCGTTGATCTTTTGGCAGTCTTTTTTACCTAGGTCTCGAGGGTAAAATCAATTATCCATTTTTAAATATGTCTTCTTTTAATTATGGGTTAAAGTGATAAAATTATATAATGAATATGCTTTAGATAAGAGTGGAATTAGTTGAAAATTGAAGCATTATGCTATATAATTTATGCAGCATTTTTATTATTCTGTAATGTATAGTACATGCATGTTCTTGAGTAATTTATGCATGGTTTTAATTAATAAAATTTTTATGCAAGATCAGCATGAATTTTCTACTAACAAAATCCTTATCTTTACACAGTGATGCATCGACGTCTTCCACAGTACACCAATCGTAGACGATGGACACAAAATCAAGGTGCCCTGACCCGGGCTACAAGTGAGCCCCTTTTACAAGGTAGTTACTCTACCTTAGGTAGGATGGGGCATAGGTTTCCCCGCCAGTTATCCTCCACCCCCCTCACAGATTGTATCAGCACTGCATCCCTAGATATCTCAGGTGAGATCAGTGTGTTGCACATGGCTCCTATGTCCATCATCCGTCAATAATCGTTAACCAGTCTTTGTTGCTGTCTGTTTTCATTTTTTGTTTGGTAGACAATTTTGTTTTTTTAAACCTTTCTAAAGTTATGTTTTTCTTTTATTGGCAGGAACTAAATTCCAAAATATGATTTTTTTGGATTGTCAGTGGTTTATAAAGCATATTTTTCCATCATTCTGTATAAAATTTGCAAAAACACTTTTTTTTACGAGCTGTTATTTCATGGCATTGTAAACGTTTTTAATAGAAATGTCTATTCACTTGATGTTTGTGACATAGGAGCCTTCACCCACTTGGTCATGTGACTGTGTTCATTCATTAACAATAAATAATGCACTACAGTATGTGGATTTGTGCACTAACTATGGAGATGTGACAGTCTCCATGCTTTAGCTATGCATGTTGTGAGTCTATAGCTTGCTTGTACATCGTTATGGTGAGAATAGCCTCCTGCATTTTATGCAGCATTTTGGACATTGAGGGCAGTATAAGGATTTTTAGCTTTATCAAGTTAATTCATTTATAATGCAACTATTTCCAATAAATAAGGAGGTACTGTACTATAAGATTAACAACAAAGCAGAGACAAGTAGAATAGATTTTTGCTGACTTAAGTATGTACTTAGCATAGTAATATAATAAAACATGTTAGCAAACATGTTATATGCTGTTAGATTCCTTTGAATCACTTTGTAGTATAGCCCTACCTTAGCTGCTATTACCAATAGATGTATAATTTAAATTATACTTCCATGCTTGTACACAGTTTCCCACTTAACGGACCAAGCATTCTTAAATTATTTTCTACTAGATTTATTTCTAGATTCAGGATTACCGTAAACCCTTGAATATAAAGGCTTATACAATTTTTAGAGCCTTCAATTCGGCGCTTATTTGAGAGTAGTGCTTATTAAATAATATTGGTGTGACGCTTTCCGTGCCCATTCCCATGTTACCTATTTCACGTATTGCCGTGGACCTATATCACCTGGACTCTCTATGCTTGGGACATTTTGGGATATTCTCTATTTTAATTTAGATTAAATTGTTGTTTCTGAAATTAACTTCCAGCAGAAAAATTGGCAAGGTATTGTGAAAGTACAACAAAAATGATAGGATGATTTCTGAGCTTTAATTATATTTTTCAACAAACCAAAGAAAAACCTTTCTTAGCATATTTTCTTTAATAACAATGCTTGGCATTCTACGAGCCTACCATAAGTTTTTCAAAATTATTTTATTTAAATGAAGAAAAAAATTAAATTATAACCAAATTTGAGCCTGAGAGTGCCATTTCCGGGACTCTAGAGGTGCCACAATGATAAATTATCTTTCCTCAGCCCCAGCCATGGTGGGGTTATCTGTGAAAGCCCCTACTTGTGCCCCCTTTATTTCGAATTCCTTGATCCTCCACTGATAGGATAGATGATTTACTCATGTAGCTGATATAGTAGATATACCCATACATCTATAGCAGATTTACCCATAGCTATTTTAAGATAACTTTAAGATTTATACATCCCACGCATCTTATTTTAGTAACGTTATGTCAATAAGCAGGAATCCTCTTACAGGATCCGGAATTAACCCCAAGGTCAAATCTGGCAAATTGATCTTGTAATGATTATAGTTTTTTTTATATCAAAATTATTTTCCATTTTTACGTGATGCTTATCCCCTCCCCCCCCCCTCCACACTGTTCTGGGTAATAGAGAACCTTCTAAGCCCTTTACCCGCATAGTAGAGCACCAGATCAATATAGTTGATCAACGTTAATTTCTGCAATTTACATCATGCCAATATATTCCTACTTCTGATGGTACTACTTAAATTTTATCACCTTTGACATATTGTTTCTGTTGATTTAATTTCTATTGAAATTTGGCTACTGTATTTCATGTAAATTTGACATAGGAATTTATGATTGTGGTTTAAAGTACTTTATTTGAAAATGTGTTAGTTTGACGTCAAGATGGGGTCATTCTAGTAAGGTGAAGTAGAATTACGTAGATACAGAAGTAGATTGAATTCAAAATTTCAATTTATTTACAAGTTGATCAATCGTCAGTTTATTCCTCATGTACTGCGTATTTTAATATGAACTGTTAGTTTTATCTTCAAAAGTGTTATTACTGTAGCATTATGCTCTTGTTTTGTTTGTTTTTTAAGTAATATTTAAAGTTTGAAATAATGAAGTTGTACTCGATCCTGTAGAAATGATTTGTACATGAAATTAATTAAGGTTAAAATATAAAATAAAAGGATTGGGGAAACAAATTTTAACAAAGTGCAGGCAATACCAGTAATGACCCATAGAAAAATATACATAGTACTTAGCACTCTGAAATAAAGTACATGGTACCTAGTTTACTTCATGAAATATCACTTCTTTTTTACTCAGTCTTATATTTGTTTTTGCACTAACACATTTCATTGGTTGCTGTGGTTTCTGTTTTATATGATACATATAAAATGCTTTGTCACTCTTTCACTATTATTGTTCATTCTTGAAATGAAATTAATATTATAATGTAATTATAGGCCTAAGAGACTGATATCAATGAGTCTGTTACATTGTATGCTACACAATACTTTATTATTTGTTTGTCACTTGTTCTTACAACTTCTATTCACGCTATATTCACCCTTTTTCTCGCTCCCCTTTCTCACTCAAGATGGTCCAAGGTCACTTCGAGCTTCTCCTGTGACAACGCACGCACCTCCGGCACAGAATGGTGGTATACGCTACGTTGCTATTAAAAATTACAAGGCCTTTGAAGCTGGGGAACTTACCCTTCATAAAGGCGATATTGTAGAAGGTATACTAACTCACTTGTTGAAGTGGCTTTTCTATGCCATATTATAGTAGTTTCTAAATCACCGTCCACACACTATCAAATTTTATGTGACAAATTTCTGTGATGTCACAATTTTTTTTTCACATAAAATTTGATAGTGTGGACAGTGTTTAAATTTGTAGAAAGATAATTATATTCTTCAATTAGTTTATAAGAATATATACGGTTGGTTAGTTGGTATTCTTTGTTTTATGTGATAACCGCAAGAGTTTGAAAATATGTTTTCTGTAGGGTTTTCTTAGTAGCAAGCACAGGGGACTATGTTGAGCAGGACAACAGTGTACCTCTCTACACATCTTATAACATCTAAATTCTTTTAGTAAAGTGCGCATGAACTAGTTGCGTATACTCAGCTTCCGATTTATATGGTTAGCACAAAGCATACAAGCTGTAGAAAAGCGTGAATATAAAATAATTTATACAGTGCTATTACCAGTAGCTTTTCTAAAATATAAGGTTTACTGGCTTGCTTTCTTTGATTGATGTTTTTCTGTAGTGCACTTTCTTAAAATACCAGGAATATTTGATGAACTTTCCACATTAGTTTAGTAAATCTATTTTATGGTTGAACTTTTGGCATCAATTGTCTTCTCTGTCTAATTCTGATACTATAACAATGTAGCATATTAATAAAAATTGATAATGGTAGTGCTATAAATTATTTAAGTATCCAATAGCAAGAAGTGATAAGATAGTATTAATAACCATTTGGTTCTTGGGTAATCTCTTTGAAATTTGTTTGAAAGAAAAGCAAATCAGTGGAAATGTAGGAAAGTAAAAATAACACTGGTGGAAATTTTCTTTATATGTTAACAATTTAAATTTGAAGAGCTCTCTGTATTATTGTTTAAGGAGAGGTATCAAGTTTTTTCAGTGAGAAGCAATTTTAAATCATCTGGAAAATTCAAGGTTTTTGGTTTATAAGTTGTGTGAAAAGAATAACCAACCACTAAACACCCTTGATTGCTTTGTTAGGTAAAACAAACTTGTTAATACATTAATAGAATACCTTGGATTATCTAAAAGGTAGAAGCATTACTGTAGGCCAACCTTCACTAGTACAGTAATTGTTGCACTTCAAGTGACCTTCTAGACTCTTGTCAACCAAATTCATTAATAGTGATTAACCACAGTGTGAAAAGCTCTTAAATGAAAACAATTTATTCTGAGATGTAATTTTTATATTCCCAATGCAGTGACAAATAAAGATGATGAAAGTTATTGGGAAGGAAAAGTAGGAAATTCCTATGGACTCTTTCCGGCATATTGCGTGGACAAGGTTGTAATGCGAGGTATTTATCATTTTTTTAACAATTATATAATACATCTTATTGTAATAAATTTATAAATTCAGATTAAAACAACTAAATATGTGTTTGTATTTATTAGTTATTAAGAAATTTGGGTGTTTTTGCATATATTAGGTTCTTTCTTTCAGATATTTTCAATATTAATTTTGATATGGTTTAATCCCTAAAAAAGAATTAAAAATGAACCTTTTTTAATAAAATAATAATAATTAACTTTTGGTACCTCATGTCTAAGAATATTCTCTCAGACCTTGTTTAATCTCAAAAATCATATTCTTACACATGGTATACTGAAAGTATTATTTTATTATTGATAATTGCCATGCAGACTTTCAAGAAATATTTTGTTACTTTTGTTGTTATTAAATGCAGTACACAATATTTGTTTATGACAAAAGTATGATAAACTTTCGCTTTCCCTTGTAATTTAAGCATCATTAGATTTTGTAAAAGGACTAGACTCTACAAATGCAGCATATGGACTGTGTGACACCTGTTTTGGGCAAATCTAAACTTCTTTTTAGAACTTGTTTTGAAGTATTGAATGTTTTCAATCTTCTTATATATAAACATGTATGAATTACAAATATTAATTTCAATTTTCTGTAAAATTTCTAATGAGTTGTTGGAAATCGCCTTGATAATTAAAAGCTTGATAATCTATAAGCATTTGTTATTAATAACGTGCTAACTTTGTGACAATATTAACTATTTTATGATAAAGCCTGCCCTCTGTCATTCATGATAGATTCTGGAGAAGTCCATTTTTTTCAATGGGTTTCATATTCTTTTTCCAATTATTTTTTAACAACAGATAGATTTAGAATAGGCTGAAATTTTAGAATGTTGATGATTGCTGTATGATTCACTTTAAATGAAACCCACTGTTTACTCACAACCAGCAATTCAGTTGTTATGGTAATGAGATCACTGAAGCATGTCAATTACTCATCTGTGAACCAGCTTGTGTAGTTGTTCTGGCAGTAGTGGGAAGTGTTCATTCCATTGACGTGCTAGAGTGTGCGATGGTGTGTTAGACACACAGATGAGGTTGTGTGCAGAGAGGGTTGTTGCCTCCTTTCCTGCTGTGTTCTCTTGGATCTGTTTACGTCAACGTTTGTTGTCATGTTGAAATTTGTTGTTTACTCCACAGGAAAGAAGGTGGAACCTGACACACTATCGGACTGCAGCTCAACTTCTGGGTAAGTTGAAAATAAATTTTTACTATTTAACGGATTGTTTTAGTTAAATTGATGCCTTGGATATTATTAAAATCGAATAATAGAAGTAGACTATGGCCAAATTTAATGATTTTTTTATGCCACTCAGTTTTATATTAAGTATATTATTATTGCTGAATACTTAATTACAAAAAGAATCAAATAAATATTCGAATAAACGACTCGAATGATCAGATAAGCTTTGTAGTGCTTATAAATTTTGTTGGCATTTTTTCAACATGATAGGGGTTTATTTGGAATGCGCTTATTATTATTGGAGTTTTAATCCACTTGCTACCCTATCATATTCAAATAGCAACATGTAGGCCTATAGTACATACTTTAGGCCTATCTCATCTGACTTGTTAAAACATAGTGCCTAGTCTGCTGTGAGAAATTGTATAGTGTTTTGATTTCTGATGATACAAAGTATTTAGGCACACTAGGTAATATAGGTCTACTTTTGACTGAGCACAGCATCGTTTAACTTAGAAGAATATATTTTTAATAAACACTGCAACAAGTTAATAAAATCATGTTTGGTGCAATGTTTATTTGGGAGTGGCATTAGTTTGATCATTTACTGTATTCATAGATAACATTGGCGTCCTAGGACCATAAAATCAACATAGGGAATAAAGTTAAAAGCTTGAGGAATGAACATAAACCTTGAGAATAACATTATATTCATCTTAATATATGGCATAACTTCAGACAATATAATTTAAAAGTCTGAATAATTGTTAGATAAACTTTGCATAAAGTCATTTTATTTGTTACGCTATACTGTTGTCAGCGTCATTGAATGGACCCTAACAAAACCACTTTGAAAAAATTAGTCAAGCGTTGAACAATAACTCATCTTTTCATCCAACCCTGGAAATAACAATACAATACTCAGAGCAAGTTTATTCATTAACAAAGAATTGTACATTATCCCAACGAATAGTACAAATCATTGTGAGTTAGCTACTTGGCCCAGCTACCTTTGCCTTCTTTAGATCTACAGTAGCTGGAGGGATTTACAGTAGACTTGCTGACAGAATAGAGATTACTGTTACTAGTTATTTAACTTTTGACTCATATCAATTAGCATTCACAAATCATTTTTGGAACCTTTTTCTGTCTTTGAGACAAAGAAGACTGAAGCTGTAGCTTGTGTTTAAGATGTTTACCTTCTAGTACCTACTTGGTTGAAGTTCTGTAAAAATACTGGGATTTTTTTTTTCTTATATATAACAACTCCAATCTATATTCCTCTTATTCTTAACGAGCACTACAGAGTTTCATCTTGTAATTGGCAAGTGTACTTGTTGGATGTGGAATAGAAAATTAAGATGCGAATGCCGGAAATAAGCGTTGATTTTTGAATAATTTATCTCAATTTAGATTGACAAATTTTTCCTAGAACATTTTTAGATTACACAACTGTAAATTTTCTGATGTACTGTAAGAATGTTAAGCAGTATGTACTATCTTTTTTGTCTAAAAATGGCATAAAATTTACCGGAAATGTTATACTATATCTAATCTTTTGTTAAAAAATTCATGTCAATATATTGGGTTAGTCTTTTAATACCAATAATTTTGTATTTTTCATCCTTTAAAATCCTTTCTTCATGGTCAGTTTATTTCACTGGACATCTTCATAAATCTGAGATAAAGTAAAGCCATTTGGCCCACTTTACTATCAACTAACACTACTGCCAAATGTCACCAACAATGTGTTAATACAGCTATTGATTATGAATACCGACAATTGAAAAGCTTAACCTGTGTACAAGGAAGGTCATCTGAAGGATGGCAGAAAGCTGGAGTGGTTTTTAAGTGTTAGAAATTATTCTCTGGCTCTATATAAAAGTTTAATTACACAAGTATAGTACTATACATCTCATTAACATATTTTATCTACAGCATGGTGCATTATGTTTTGAATATACTGTATTGTAATGGAAATTCTAATAGAATACACACATTTGCATCATTGGTATGATATGCTGATTGTTGGTATATTTTTTGATTTATTGTTTATTTCTTACAAATTAATTATTATTACCATGAGTGTTATTTTTGAGGAGGGGAGGAAGGGAGGGTCTATTATTTTATTTCATTCTCTACTCTAATGTCTATATTAAAGTCAATCATTTGAAAGGAAATTTTTCTGATTTCAAAAACAAACTTAAAAATGTATGCCACCACAAGTTTCTCAAAGTAAAAAAGAATACTTTCACAATAAATTAAACTTAACTTTAAGATGACCAGTTTAATACAGAAACCAAAATTTTGATGTTATCCTAAAAGTATGATTAAAAAATTATATTGCATGGTATACATAAAAACAGTAAAACAATTGTTATATGTTGACTTTATATACATTAGCAAATTAACATACTAAATACTGTATACCAGTAACTGAGAGAGTGATTCATCCTTCATGGAGCTAAATATAAATACATCACTGCATGTGTCCATAAACTGGCAGCATGGGACTTGATTAACTTGTTGCGTTCATTTCCAATGTGGTTTGTTCAGACAAAAGAACCCGCTGGCGGTTATAAAAACATCCATGAAATAATAGAATAATTATATATATCATATATTTTGTATTACAGTTCAAAACATGCTGACTCAGATAATTTACATATTTTTTAATTACTCATGTTGTAGAAATTACTATGTTTATTTTTATCGCGTTATATTAAATCCTCCCCAGCTATATTTTTCATTTTGTTTTTACGTGTATTTTTTGCTCTTAGCTTTTTAATTCTTATCCCTCACATCTTTCCCATTGGATTTGTCACCATTTCTGTTATAATATAGGTTTGGTTGCTATGGAACTTTATTACCAAACTTAGGATTGTAGCTCAAATTCCTACTCACTTAGGGATTTTTGTTAGATTATCAGGAACACTACTTATTAGATCTATTGAACACTTTGTGTGACATGTGTTGGGTGGAAATGCTAAAATGCAAAAAAAAAAGGAAAAAAAGTCGCTATCATTCTGTCTTCATGTTCACAATGAAGTGTACATACATTTTTATGTTTAAGTTTATAATAAGCTTATCAACTAATTCTATACAAGTACTGTATTTATTTATTATATGTGTCTTTGTAAGTTTTATATGTTGTTTGCTCTTGTTGATAATTAACATTAAAGGGAAGTTTCAGTTTGCTTTTAATCTACAATTAAAAAAAAAATTGTCAATTTTTTGGTAGCTTATTTGCCAGTCGTACAATTGAACCTTTCTTATAAGATGAATTTCTTAATTATTGTCTGGGAAGATACATAGACACCGACAGGAGGGATGTCTGCTTTGTTTGGAGTTAAGGAAGCATTTTATTTGGTTAGGATTTTGAATGTTCTCATTTCTCACTTTCCTCTTCGTTATTGTGTACAAAGCAAAAACAGGAACAGGAACAGCAACCAAATTGTCACTTTACTTTTACGTCATCGGCCATTTAATTTTAAAAATACAATGAGAGGCCAGATTAATTATCTTTCAACAATTGAGTCATGATGCAGATAAAGCAACCAAATGAATCAAATATGTGAGAAATCCTTAGCTTTTGACACAAATAGATTATTGTTTAAAATGAATTAATATGCAAATTGATTCTTTGATATCCAAAGGTTTGTCTGTACTTTTCTTGTAACAAGCTTAGAATCAACGTCCCCTTCTGCCAGTGTAAACTGGATTTGATCATGAAACACCTATGATCACGGGTTTGATTCTATCTTTGTTGTAACTAAATATAATCCTATTATCACAGGAGTAAAAAGTAACTATTACATAATTAATTCATTAATCAATTATTCTTTAATTAATAATTCAAAAATAATTTTATAAGAATTATGTCATTACTTCTGACAAACTTGGCATGTTCAAAATTTATTCTGTGTTTAGTTAATATCTATTCTCATCTATACTTCAGACTTTCTCCACAGTTGTTTAGAAGAATTTAACTGAATTACTGATGTCCCAAATTAAACCTAAATTGACTAGAATCATATCTATTGCAAAATGTTCCTTAAAAAATTGCTATGCGTAAGAATTTTTTTTTTTCGAAAAAAAAATAAAATGAATGAGATTCATTTTTTTTGTAGAAAAAAATAAAGTTAATGAGATTCATTGTAAAAGCCTTATTGAGTGCTTGACATGTGCTTGACCTTAGAGTAGATAAAATATCAGGGGAAATTTAAGATAGTTGTCATGCTGATATTGTTCACCTATTCCCCTCATATATGGGATGGCTACAATCTGTTATCAAAATTGATTGTCTGTTTCGTAGGTTATAATTTTAGTTTCATTTTTGGTTTGATAACAGATTCTATAATTTAACCAAGGTGGGTAATGCAATACGATACATAAAGCAAAATATATCGATAATTGTTAAATGGTCATAAATATTCTAGATAGATGGCGTATTATATACAGTAGGCCTAAGTGATGTATTATTAATTTTTTCTGTTTGAATTAAAAGTTTATGGTCTTAATTGCATTACCTGCTATTAGTATTACTGCATATCATCTGCATAATTTTATATCATCTGCAATTGTTTTGCATCACCCCCACCCCCTCCACTCATTCCCTAATCCCTACAGTAGTTGTGGTACATATTCTCTGCTATTTTTAGGCCAAAAATAGTGTTACCAAGCAAGTGACATTGGAATTCAGGGTAGGGTAGCTATGATTTTTTCCCTCACATGTCCCACTTGTAATTAGTAAATAGGTAACCAAACGGATAAATTTGTAGTTACAGTTCATCTATTTAATATTAATACTTGAAAATTGAACTTTTATAATTACAGAAGAATGTTTTACTTCTCCTTGGTAATGGCTGATCCCAGATTTTAGAGACTTTTAAGTTCTTGGTTGGGCTTGGACAACACTTTTTTTGCCTTATTCATTCATCTTAGATTATTATTTTGCATCGTCTGCTATTAATTTTTGTTGTCAACTATTTTTTGTGTCGTCTGCT